TTACTTCCAGGATGATCTTGGAGTAACATCTTAGTTTGTTATTTTACTTCCAGGATGATCTTGGAGTAACATCTTAGTTTGTTATTTTACTTCCAGGATGATCTTGGAGTAACATCTTAGTTTGTTATTTTACTTCCAGGATGATCTTGGAGTAACATCTTAGTTTGTTATTTTACTTCCAGGATGATCTTGGAGTAACATCTTAGTTTGTTATTTTACTTCCAGGATCATCATGTAGTAACATCTTGCAGTTTGTTATTTTACTTCCAGGATTATCTTGAAATAACATCTTACACTTTGTTGTTTTACTTCCAGGATCATCTTGGAGTAACATCTTACAGTTTATTTTACATCCAGGATCATCTTTAAATAACATCTTACACTTTGTTGTTTTACTTCCAGGATCATCTTGAAATAACATCTTACAGTGTGTTATTTTACTTCCAAGATCATCTTGGAGTAACATCTTACAGTGTTGTATTTTACTTTCCAGGAGTGGGAGGCTTTTGTAGGCATGCTGGTAACAGATATTAAACTGGAAAAGTCTGAAATGCAAGCTGCACTACCTAAGTGGGTTCCCGAAGAAAGAGCTCTGGCAATAACATTACTGAAAGTAAGGACGTTTTCTGTTAACATATGACACGAACAGCAGTTGATCTAATCATGCAGTATGTTAACTAACACATTAGAAATGATACATTACTCAATAAATTACTATATTTGATCATTATAATGTGATAACCAACATATTCACTTAGTTTTATAGTTTCAGTTTGAGAGTACTTAATGATTATCATTATTATTTAATACACGTTTTACAGTAAGGAAGAATATTTTTAAAACAGGTTTTAATCACTGATGCAATCATTGTCAAATAATATTAAAACTTGTGTACTTGAGAACTGTGGTGATCAAAATGTCGTACCAATTTTAAAAATATTCTTCTTTACTGTAAAAGCTGTAACTTGTAATAAAATAAGTTATTTTAGTGTTAACATAAACCTACTGTAACCATCATCCCATTCAGAGTGTTTAGATGAAGAATACTGTATTATACTTGTTAGGAGAGAGTTTAAGTAAAAACATTGAATTATACTCGTTAGGAGAGAGTTTAAGTAAAAGCATTGAATTATACTTGTTAGGAGAGAGTTTAGGTAAAAACATTGTATTATACTTGTTAGGAGAGAGTTTAGGTAAAAAACTGAATTATACTTGCTATGTCTTCCAGCAGCTCATTTGTTTTTACACCCATCAGTTATCCCATCTGTTTCAACAATATTTCACCTAATGAGACATCGTACAAAACCTCTAAGGCAGATGTAGTCTATGAAAGTATCTAATGAATTACAGAAACTGGTGTATTTATTATTAATTTTCCTTATTTTGGAACATATATATTGTGATAAAGTAATACAATTTATCAAGCTATTTCGGCTAGTACGTTTGAATAGTAACCAGATCATTGTCCACAGATCACTTTTCCACACTTAGTATCAGCTCTTCAGCTGGATGATGCTGCCATGTGGCGAGAGTTCTCTGCAAGCAGTCAGTGTGAGCAGGACATTCCTCCAACTGTGGTTCGCCAGCTCTCTTCTTTTCAACAAGTTCTATTAATTCAAGCTTTAAGACCAGATAGACTTCAGAGTGCTTTAACATTGTTTGGTACTCGGGTACTTGGTAAGAAGCTACTATTAATCAGAATTTAAGAACATAAAGTAAAATACATTGTTAAAGATGTATATGGTATATTTGAAATATATTAAATCTTCGTATGTATTTGTTAACTTTAGATCATCAAAAATACAACCTGTCAGCCATCAATGGATTATCTGACTTCTTGAGATATTTTCCTGATGTGGAATGTATAAAAGTCTGGCTTCAAGTATTTAAATGTCCTTTCTGTTACTATTTGAAAGAATTTTGGAAAAGTTGTACAGAGCATGTCACAAATGTTTTCCGAGGGACTTGTATAGGTTACAAGTATAACGGGAAGTCATAAGTTGAGGGTGGAAAGCTAAGGTGATCTCTTGATATCACTGCAGAATTAACGTTATATTAAAATAATAAACATGGAATTAAGAGTAATTAAAAATACATGTAGATATATTAAATAGTCTAACAGCACTGTATGTCTGTAGTGTGGTAAGCTTAGGTCAATGTTCAAGTAGGAATACCATACTTAACTACCACACCATGATAAGTTATACTTAACTACCACACCATGATAAGTTATACTTAACTACCACACCATGATAAGTTATACTTAACTACCACACCATGATAAGTTATACTTAACTACCACACCATGATAGGTTATACTTAACTACCACACCATGATAGTTATACTTAACTACCACACCATGATAAGTTATACTTAACTACCACACCATGATAAGTTATACTTAACTACCACAGTTAAGTATAACTTATCATGGTGTGGTAGTTAAGTATAACTTATCATGGTGTGGTAGTTTACCACACCATGATAAGTTATACTTAACTCCCACACCATGATAAGTTATACTTAACTAACACACCATAATAATTTATACTTTTTCTACAACACCATGGTGAGTTATACTTAACTACAACACCATGGTGAGTTATACTTAACTACCACACCATGATAAGTTATACTTAACTGCCACACCATAATAAGTTGTACTTGTTTTACCACACCATGGTGAGTTATACTTTTTCTACGACACCATGATAAGTTATATTTTTGCTACCACACCATGATAAGTTATACTTAACTAACACACCATAATAAGTTATACTTTTTATACCACACCATGCTATCTATCTGAGTGTTTGTTTGTCTTCCGTTACGTATGTCACTTCCTGTCCTGTGTTTGGAAAGTTGTGCACATAGGTAAAGCTCAATATTCACTTTTGAAATGACAGGAGAACTGGCATGAATAATGTTGATGTCAAATTTTATTTCACAAACAGGATATTCTACAATAAATTGTTAGTAATTAACCACACTATGATTCACATTTCAAAATGTAACGTAACTTAAAGAATAAAAATGTAGATTTATCATACGTTATTGTTGAGCAGCTCTTAGCATGATTGAAATGTTCAACAATTACTTTTTGCAATGGACAGTATAAGTAGCTCTATGCTTTGGCTGTGATTGAAACCAAAAGTGCAATACAATTAACGTTTTTAAAGTATGTGAAATAATTTATATTGATAGATTAACTTAATCTTTTCCTATTACTGGGGATGGGTACTTTGCTTCTGTATGATATAGATGTATTTTGACTGATTTAGGCTTAGAGTAGGGTTATTCACTTCATGTTTTGGTTACAAATTAATATTTTCACTTTATCTAGGTTTGAAAGAGCTGTCACCAGCAGCAGTTAACTTGAGGAGGATATATGAAAATGAAACTCAAGCAACAGAGCCAATCCTCATCATTATTTCTCCAGGAGCAGACCCTTCCCAAGAGCTACAAGAAGTTAGTAGCCAAGTTGTTGGAGCAGAAAACTACTTTCAGGTAAATAACATACTTACAGCTCATTACTTTATTTAGAATTTATTAAAAAATTGATCTTTATAAATTTACATGTGTAGACAGTTATCTTTAGATTAAACCAATGCTATTTTACATGTGTAGTCAGTTATCTTTAGATTAAACCAATGCTATTTTACATGTGTAGACAGTTATCTTTAGATTAAACCAATGCTGTTTTATATGTGTAGACAGTTATCTTTAGATTAAACAAATGCTATTTTACATGTGTAGACAGTTATCTTTAGATTAAACAAATGCTATTTTACATGTGTAGACAGTTATCTTTAGATTAAACCAATGCTATTTTACATGTGTAGACAGTTATCTTTAGATTAAACCAATGCTGTTTTATATGTGTAGACAGTTATCTTTAGATTAAACCAATGCTATTTTACATGTGTAGACAGTTATATTTAGATAAACCAATGCTATTTTACTTGTGTAGACAGTTATCTTTAGATAAACCAATGCTATTTGACATGTGTAGACAGTTATCTTTAGATAAACCAATGCTATTTTACATGTGTAGACAGTTATCTTTAGATCAAACCAATGCTATTTTACATGTGTAGACAGTTATCTTTAGATAAACCAATGCTATTTTATATGTGTAGACAGTTATCTTTAGATTAAACCAATGCTATTTTACATGTGTAGACAGTTATCTTTAGATCAAACCAATGCTATTTTACATGTGTAGACAGTTATCTTTAGATTAAACAAATGCTATTTTACATGTGTAGACAGTTATCTTTAGATTAAACCAATGCTATTTTACATGTGTAGACAGTTATATTTAGATTAAACAAATGCTATTTTACATGTGTAGACACTTATCTTTAGATTAAACCAATGCTATTTACATGTGTAGACAGTTATCTTTAGATTAAACCAATGCTAGTTTACATGTGTAGACAGTTATCTTTAGAGTAAACCAAGGCTATTTTACAG